CATCGAACAATCCAAAGTTCATCACAGCATCAATATCCATGCTATCCTTCATATTTTCCCCTATAGCAGTGTCGCTTGTTTGTTCTTTGGAATATGCATGAACTGCAGAATCTTGTTCTCTTCCTTCACAATCGTTTGTGGTTGCTGAAGATTGATCTTCCCTGTTTGAGCTAGAAACAGTTTCCTCAGTTTTCTGATGCAAGATGCTCGAATCTGCAAGCACATCATGGCTGCTTTCAGTGCTCATACCAACTGTCTCAACTTTCTCTAGTCGTTCTTCTGTCAAACAATTCAAATTTCTATCAACAGCATCAATATCCGTACCATCTTCCACATCTTGTCCCTTTGCAGTATCACTTGTTTGTTCTTTGGTATGTGCATGACTGTTTTCAGGGTTCACACCAACATCTTCAGTTTTCTCATCCAAGCCAATAACAACAACGTCGATATGAACCTTTTCCTCACCCATACTTGTACTTAAGAAAACAGCTACACGGACAAGAACCAAAACAATAAGTACAAAACCACAGTTCATTCAGCATACAGGAACATAATCAATCAGTATGCTGAAGGATAAAACTTTACCACGAGTTGATTGGATCAATTTATAAAATAAGATATATGCAAAGAATTGTATTGTACTAGGATTACCTTATTAATATTAAGCAACATACTATTACAAATCTTTTATTTGGATGGGCAGAGAAAAAAAAGAAAACTAAAATTACTATTACATACTGGTCTCCACCTAAGATTTGGATAAAAAAATTAAACAAAAACGGTAAACTTTAACTTACGAGAACATTGGTCTTCCTACCAGAGCAGCAAACACACTATAAAATTCAATAAAGGGCAGTGGTAGCACAAGCAACTAACAAAAACAACTACAAATAGAAATAAAGTTTACAAGATCAACTACCCCTAACAATAAACTTTGTCAAAATTCTCACACCTCCCCACCCAGAGCTAAACCAACAAATTCATGTTAAGTCTAATTAAGCATACCCGGAAAAAGAAAATCAAATTTTACAAAAGGAAAATAAAGTATTGTATTCATGGAATATCATAATGAAGTCAACGAGCTGATGACATGTTTCTCATTTTCCTCCATCCAATTTCTTACTAACCATGCAGAAAGGGAGAGAACAAGATCTAGGCGACAACAGTCCTGAAAAATCGAACAAAAAAACCGACATCAGTACACACAAATCAATTCAGTTTGACGAACAGAGGAAAAAAGGTACAAATGGGAAGAAATAACACACGGAATTTAAATCCAACTTAAGAAAAAGGATAAAATCCAAAAGATACACATAAAGGGAACAGAACCTAACCAGTGAAGCATAGAGGTGGCCACTAGGTGAAGAAGAAGAATAGACCGGTCGAGCTAAAAAGTCTTCCGTTCCGAGATCTAAATGTATATATAATATAAAAACCCTCTGTGGCAACTAGGGCTTCTTTCTCTGCCGTTCGATTGGATATTTGCTCTTTTAAATCAACGATTATTAGTATGACACGTGTATCACACTATTTAACGTGCTTTATCAATTTCCCCGTCCGTCGTAAAGCTTTACAGTGACGTCCAACTCCTCGGGCCGTCTTTGTTAACCCGAGCTCCGGATTTTAGCTTTATCTGGGTGTTTTTTTTTTAATTATTATTATTTTCAAAATGATAACTTCATTTTCTTTTGGAAATTAAAGAAATTCGTATTTAAATTAATTGTTATATAAATAAAAATAAAATCAGAAGTTTATATTATGAGTTCATTATCTAATATTCAAATTGAAGGTGGAATTCATATTTATAAAAAAAAATTTAATATTTTTTAATATTAAATTTTTTCTTGAAAACCTCAAATAAGTATTTAATTTTAAGTAAAAACATAAATCTTAATATATATTCAAATTAAATTATTAATTTATTTATTTTTATTTTTAGTTTTTTTTAATTTATGTTTATATCAACTCATTTATATACTTGTATTTTAAAGAATTACATCGTTGGTAAAATAAAATATAATTTTACATTATTTTAAGGTATTAATCGATAAAAATAAAATATAAATTTTTAAGGTAAGATAAGTTACAAGAAAACTAAATAAACTTCTAAAACTCAATAAATGAACTCTCTTAAAATTTTAAGCCACTTGACGAGAGAAATCATCGAAATTTAAAAAAATAAAAAAAAAATAACATATGTTATTGACTTATATAATGGTCAGTAATACATTACTTATTTATTTAATAATTTGAAAATAAATTATTACATTCTAGTATCTTACGTTATAAAAAAATTTTAAATAATGAATGACATATAATTTAATATTAATTAAATACCACAGACAGATATTAATAATAGCATAAAAATTTTTATAAAATATTTATATTCTTACACGTTATTTTATAAATTAATAATTTACTGAATACTAATTACTAACAAAAATATATTTAACATATTAATATGAAATTTACAAGAAAAGTAAAACAGATTATATTAACCATAGTGATAACAACAAATCACTCTTCATCAATCCAAATATTCATATATATCATCATGTACATTAACCATAGGCCACATTAACATATATAGCATCTATACAATAGAAACAATTAGTATGATGTATATATGTGTGTATATACTTGTAATGTATATATCTATATATACATATACATACACAAAACAATATACACTCTTTTGTTTAATTTAAACAAATTATAATTCAATAAATTTTAATTAATTTATCTATGAGCGACCAATTGAAACTGGTCAAAAGTCATACACCATTATAATCCAACGGTTGTTATGAAATAGTAAAGATCATAACTAGGGTTTTTAACAAAGGCGGCAGAGGATTTGGGCGTCATGGTATATCTAATAGTTGTGTACACGTGGCAAGCTATTGGTCGTTGAAACAAAAGAGCAAAATTCCAATCTAACGGTAGATAAAGAAACCCTAACGGAAACTGAGGGCTTTATATATACATCTTTCCGAGGAAAAACACTCACAGCTTCTCTGCATTTTCCATTGTGTTTCTCAATCCAGCGGCGTTCTCTCTGCTTTTCTGGTAAGCTTCTCCCTCTTGCAGCGCAACGATCTATCCGTTTCTCTTGTGCTTTGTCTTGAGATTTTAAAAATAGTAGTACGGTTTCTTTTTCTCCTGTTTATATGTGATTTATTTGTTTATCAAATGAAATGGATTTGTGCTTGTGGTCGTGAGAAATTCGTACGGTTGTTTGGTATTGGTGTTGCTCGGATCTTGTTTTTGTTCTCCATCTGTTTGTTTAGTTAGAAGTTGGAAGGGAAAAAAGATGAGAAGCACTTCGTCAGCTCGGTTGCTTGCTTACGATATTTAATGTATGCTACTTAATTTACGTTTTCAAAAACTTCGATTTTCTTTTTTCTGGATTTGCTTATCCTAATCTGATATGAATTTATTGGGTTAGATCTGAGTAGGTTGTAATGATTTTGGCTAAGTTTACTGTTACTGGTATTGCAAATTTAACTGTTTGTTCATTGTGCCTTCTGCTGCTCTTTATTGAATTTCGTCCGGCTTTGTTTTTCATTTGATCAAAACTAAAGGATTTGTGATAGTGTGTTTATTAGATTAATGAAGTGATAGAAACAAATGACGCATTGCATTTAGCTAGAATTTAATGCTTACTTTTTTTGAGGAATGTTTCAATGCTTACTTTGACCAACCTACTTGTTGTAAAATTTTATATTTCAGCATATTGATTGATTATATTCCTGAATGGTGAATAAAGTGTAGTTTTATACTTATCTTTTTGGTTTTTGTTCATTTAACAGTTTTCGTAAGTACCATTATGGGTAAGGAAAAGGTTCATATCAACATTGTGGTCATTGGCCATGTCGACTCTGGAAAGTCAACTACCACTGGGCACTTGATTTACAAGCTTGGAGGTATTGACAAGCGTGTTATTGAGAGGTTCGAGAAGGAAGCTGCTGAGATGAACAAGAGGTCGTTCAAGTATGCTTGGGTGCTGGACAAGCTCAAGGCCGAGCGTGAGCGTGGTATCACCATCGATATTGCCTTGTGGAAGTTTGAGACCACCAAGTACTACTGCACTGTTATTGATGCCCCTGGACATCGTGACTTTATCAAGAACATGATTACTG